CTTCTGGATGAGTTTAACATTTGAATGTGTAAGTTGAGTTGTGAGTTCACCCTTCCCAGCTTGGGTGGCTTTCATACAGATCATTGAAGGCCTGAACAGTATGAAAGGACTAATACTCTGCTAAAGCAGAGAGATTTCTTCCTGCCTGATTTGCCTTTCAGCCAGAACATTGCATTTTTCTTGCCTTTGCCCTTAAACTGTAGCATTGGTTCTTACAGGTCACAAGCTTGCAGACATTCAGATAGAAACTACATCATTGCCTCTCCTGGCTCTAGGGCTTTTGAACTTCGACTGGAAATGTGCGCTTGGCTCTCCTGGGTCTCCAGCTGGGCAACTGTAGATCTTAAAACTTGACTGCGTCCATAATTGTGTGAGCCAATTCCTTATAATACTCTTCTCCCTCTCTCTAAAGGTCCTTTTAGTTCTGGCTCTCTAGAGACCTTGACTAATGCACTGTTAAAGTATGCACTGTTGGACTGTGCTCAGCAATTTCTGTGTGCCGTACACATTGAATTCTTAAGTACTGATTTTTGAGTACCCATTACTTGTGCCAAATGATTATAAAGAAATAAGGTGATTCTTACCCCAAAATTATAGTCCTGTGTTACTTTCCTGTGTTTATCCTTCATGCTAAAAATATTGTTATCCAGCAGAAAAAGCTTTCAGTAGGAAACAGATCTAGGTCCTGTGAGGTGGAGATATCATTTTGACTCTGCTTGGTACAATGTGAACTACTATGCAGGTGGGGAAACCTTCCTATGTATTTTAAAATCAATATAATAGTACAATAGTTGCTGGCATATAAATAAAATTCTGAATCAGGTAAACTGATTATTTAGTGTGGTCATAACCAGTACCAAGTTGGAACAGGAAAATAAATCCATTTCCATTTGCAAGTGGTTAATTAGCTAGCAACAGTTCGAAGCAAACAGTATTTTCCCTGAGTATCCAGATTACTTCTGGAGTATTCTAAGAAGTATGCTTTTTGGAAGGGGACCAGAGATGGAAACCAAGTCTCAGTATGTCAGCTTATTCATTGTTATAGTGCAGTGATTTTTGTGTATGTGTGCACCACATGAATCCAAGCTGATGTCTTCAATTTTAATCTAGCACAACAAGATCTAGCTACTCTTCTTCAATTCTGTATTTGTATCCCCATTGCCAGTAATGACAGATGTGACTTCCATAGCCCATAAATAAAGTACTTTCTGTATTGTACATGCTTTTAAGTTTAATTTACATTGCAATCATTTTTTTTTCAGTTAGGAATCTGACTTAGCATATTTATTTTGTTTTCTTTTTTTTTCTTCCTTCATTACAGACAGGGTCAAATCTACATAGGTATGATGTTTGTTATGGACCAGATGTTTATGTCCTTTTCCATTTTATATGTTGAGGCTCTAACCTTGAACGTGATTGTGTCTGAACTCAGGGCTAGTGAGGAGGTGAAAGGGTAGACCCTGATCTGTCAGGGTTGGTTCCTTTGTATAAGGAAGACAAATCACCACAGCTCTCTCCCCTCTGTGCTAGAAGGTAGCTGTATGCAGGCTAGCAAGAGTCCTTTCCGTGAAGGAGTCAGATGATACCTTGACTTTGGATTTGCAGCTCTCAGAACCTGAGGGGGGAAACAATGCTGTGGTGAAAACCTCCCAGTCTGTGGTTTCAGTTATGGCAGCCTAAGCAGACAGACACAGCAAAGCCAGGGGAGGGGAGCACACTGAGTTCATCCTGCCCCTTCCCATGGCCAGGCATTAGCAGTCAGAGAGGAATGGTCAGCCTGAAGGCCTGATTTGCAGTTTGGAAACCAAAAACAGGATCTTCCCAGCATCTCATCATCACTTTCTTGCTTGCTTACTGCTAAGGTCTTACCCTACTTTTCTGACACTAGAATTCCTTTTATTTCTATAACTGAATAGAACTTCCCATGGGAGCTCAGTGATTTTACGAACATCTAATTTGGTTTAGAATTCTTCACTTAATACTAATAATTTCTTCAAGCAGTGGGTTGAAACGTTTCTCACTAGTTATTTGATTTACTGGGCATTGGTTCCACCTCTTTGTATTTTACAAGTGATACTTTAGTTTCCTCTTTGTTCTCATTAGAAGTTAAATTTTGCTTTGACCAACATTTAAGATACTTTGTTCAAAACACCATATAGAATGCCACAATGATTCATTAATTTGTACAGTTAGTAACTAACTGTACAAAGTTAAGTTTGTAATTATAGTGAGGAAGAAATTAAATGGAAATATGGAAAAAGATAACATGAGAGGGAAGATCAGAATAATTAAAGGTTATTTGTTGGCAAGCTCATCTTTATGGATAAAATACTAGTATTGTAGAATACTTTGAAACTGGGTTTATTTTGAAGCACACACACCAATAGAAAGCAAGCAAAATATTAACCATGGGAATCCTTAAGGCAAAATTCTTTAATGGGTAGAGGAGATTGCTTACAATTCATGTAGCAATTTAAATGTAAATAGATGTATCTGAAACTCATGAGTGTTTTGAGGGTACTTGAAAAAATTGCCTTTCATTAATTTCTAAGCATTATCTTTACAGTCTTGTTTAGATTATTTTTAATCATAGGAAATGAGGGACAAATGATGACTTCTGCTGTGATGTGCCATTTCATACACATCAGCTCTAGTCCAGTGTGAGAGGGGTTCTTTGAGGGCTCTGTTCACTTACATGACTTTTGGCAATGCATTTCAGTATCTTGCTGTTTATGCAGTAGTTACCTCAGAGTGAGTGATCTGAGGGAGGAGCAACAGCCTTCTCACCTTTAATATGACATACGTAAAGAACAACTCTGATACCGTATGAGAAGGTGCTGCACAAAGGTCTGGGTACGACAAGGTGGACAAGTTGGAGTCCTTTGAGGGTGGCTGTTCCACTTGACATGTGGTATAATTCTATCTTGTGAGAGGCTGCCCTTGTAGAAATGACACATTGAGCAGAATGCGAGACACATAAGATGGAAATACTCAGAGTTATGAGTGCTTTCACTCAGGGTTAAAGCTTGGTTTTCTCTTGGTTTTGCAAACTGCTAATCATCTTCCAATAAATTATCATACACTAAATTAGGTCAAATCAGTTTCTGTTGCTGTAACACAAGATTCCTAACTGATAAAAAAATGATTGCAATGTAAATTAAACTTAAAAGCATGTACAATACAGAAAGTACTTTATTTATGGGCTATGGAAGTCACATCTGTCATTAGTGGCAATGGAGATACAAATACAGAATTGAAGAAGAGTAGCTAGATCTTGTTGTGCTAGATTAAAATTGAAGACATCAGCTTGGATTCATGTGGTGCACACATACACAAAAATCACTGCACTATAACAATGAATAAGCTGACATACTGAGACTTGGTTTCCATCTCTGATCCCCTTCCAGAAGGAATCAAGTCTCCCTGGAGAAATGACAGAGACAGGGAAAAGACAGCTTATACTAGAAAATGTTCCAAGAAAGAAACTAGATTCTCAAAGAATGATAAGGATATATCAGAAAGACTCAGCTGCCAAGTATGAAAGGTGTCTTCCTGGCCAGATCTGAAATAATTTGAACATTAATAGAGAATGAATCTTACAACTATACTATTAAGATTCAAGTGGAAATCAACAGGTACTAATGGGTAAAATGTTAATGAATAATGAGATATTTATATAGTCTCTATGCATCTTCTCTCAAATGTGTATTATAAAGGGGAAAATAGAATGAAGAAGGCTGCTGGATACCATCTTAATCACATGATTAAAGCTAATATCACTGAAAATGGTACAAAAGGACAGCATGTGCTTCCTGATATGATGCACTAACAACTCGGTGTCACTTCTGGGTACTCTGCTCAAAGTGCACAATTTGAATTTAATCAAAAGGAAGCACAAAACAAAGGTATATTGAGGGACAGTCTATAAAATAACTGGCAAGTACTCTTTAACATGTTAAAATCAACAAAAATAAAAATTGGGGAATATATTCTGATAAAGGGAGGCTAATGAGTCATGGTAACTGAATGCAAGGAATGCTCCTCGGAGGGAGCCTGAGTAGAGGGAGAAATAGTTCTACTGTGTAGAAGATTTTTGGGACATCTAGCAAGATTTGATTATAGATTGTAGAGTATATCATAGCAGTGTATCCAAATTTTCTGACTGTAATAATTATGGGAAAATTCACTTTTAGAAAATACAGGAGTATTTAGGAATAAGTAGGTAATGTGTCTATAACTTTCTCTCAAATGGCTCACAAAACTATGTGATGGAGTGAATGATAAAGCAGAGGCCAAATGTTAACAAGTAGTGCATGTAGGTATAAGGTCATGGGTTAGTTTTCTATTGCTGTTGTAACAAATTGTGATAGATTCAGCATCTTATCTCTGAAGGTCAAGAGTCAGACTCAGCATCGCTGGATTTTCTGTGTAGAGTCTCACACTGAGTTAAAATCAAAATATTAACAGGATACTTTCTGGAGGATGCCAGGAATAATCAGCTTCCAACTTCATGGTTGCTGTTGGCTGAATTCATTTCCTTGCAGTTGTAGGGCAGCCCTCCAGTTCCTTGATGGTGGGGAGAGCTGTCTTCAAGCCAGCAGTGGTTCTGTAGCTCACTTCATATTTTCAATCGCTCTGCTTTTAAAGAGTTTATAAAATCATATTAGCTGTACCTCAATAATTCAAGTTGCGCTCCTTGTCTCCTAAATAACATGTGCAAAATCCCTTGCATCATGTCATTTAATGCAACATACCATAGATGTGATCCTAGGGGTTGGGAGTCCTGGAGATCAAATATATGTATATTATAGGGTCACAGTAGTTTTGTACATTCTTCTTACTACTTTTATAGGAAATTTACATCAAAATAAAATGTTAAGAAGATTCATAAGCATACTACAGAAAATTGGAAACATGTAGTCATTGCATTATTTATGTTTTCTGTGCTTTCATTTTCTCCTAACAGCCCGAGTCTGTTTTTCTCCCTCCTTACCTACCAGGCCACCACCACATCAAGCAAGGCACCTGTGAGGTGGTTGCGGTGCACCGATGCTGCAACAAGAACCGCATTGAAGAGCGCTCACAGACAGTCAAGTGCTCTTGCTTCCCAGGACAGGTTGCGGGCACAACTCGAGCTCAGCCTTCCTGCGTTGAAGGTAAGACATTTCTGGTCAGTTTCTCAGGCCTGAAATTCTGAAGACCTTGCCTGTCCTGCAGTCTTTGCAATTCTTAGAAACCTTAAGGTTTCTAAGGTCAGTATCAATGTAAATATGCACTGAAGTCCAAGGCCAACAATTTCTTGATGAGCAAGGGAGGTGTTTTGTGATGTTTCTCAGGAGGTGCTAATGGAGGATTTCATTACAGGTCTGTTGGGAAGATGTGTTTCAAAGCCATTTGGCTCCTTTATCTCCAGATCTTACCTAGCGAGTCTGTTTTTCCCCCCATGCTCTCTTCTCCCCTTCCTTATGCATTTGCCCCTCCACAGTCTTCGGGGATAGGTTCTGGGATCTTTCATAGGAACTCAAACCTGCAGATGCTTAAATTCTTTATATAAAAGGGCATGGTATTTGCATATAACGTATGTGCATCCTTTTATGTTTTAATTCTTCTCCAGTTAATTGTAATACACAAAATAGTGTAAATACTATACAAGTAGTTGTACTATATTGTTTAGAGAATGACAAGAAAAATGTCTATGCACATTCATTCTATGCTGTTTTTAAAATATATGTTCTCTGTCACTTGAGACTGGATGCTGAACCCATGGGAAATGGAGGGCTGACTGTACTATGCACTTAAGTCTGGCCTTTTCACCTCATGCTTAATGTGATAAAGCAATTTCTGTTACTTCTACTTTATTCTAACAAACATTTCTAAAACATCTTTAGATCAACTTCCCTGAGAATGCTTTGGGATCATGTATTATTCATTTGTAAACTCTAAGTCTCTTAGCAGATCACTGTGCCAGTGGCTAAAAACATCTATGAATGAATGTTGATGGTTGTAGGTGGAGATCTGGGATTGATTCCTCTTGATGTCCCTGACTTCTTCCAATAGACATCTTGTTAGAAACAAGCGCCTGCTCCCAGGGAACCAGACACATGGGGTTATCCCTGCAGCTGCTTCTTTATGGTGCCGTGGTGGTTACAGAAAACTCCCCGAGAGGGGAGGCTCATGCATCTTGTAGATGTTGGTCTAAAGGTCAAAAGTTAAAACACAAATAGACACACATTCCTAACTCCAGATGTTTTGATTGATCATGCAGTGTAGTAATAGCTGACTTACAGCCTCCCTCCCCACCACAGGAAACACACATAAGCTCACATCAACTCCTGCGCTGTGTGGACACAGTGGTATATATCAGCACATGCCAGCTCCCTTTAATGAAGGCAAGAAAGCAGAAAACTTCCTGTATACAATTCCTTATCAAAACCTGGGGACCAAATGTATTGCTAAATCCCTCAGATGCTCTTTCTCCCCTTTCGGAGAGAAGATTCAGAGTTTTTCAAGCTTTATAAAGATAACATAATAGACACAGCATGTATTGCTTAACAGACCTATTGTGTTCTCCACACATCCACCAGAATCATAGACATTTTTGCAGTGCTTTATATGAATATTCATGCAGAATGGCATAAGGGAATATAAAGCACCGTATGTTAATTCAAGTCAGCTTTTTCTGTCATCTTACAGAAAACCATTCCCTTTTTAGAGTTTACATTTGGGGCTTATTGGTAAAGGATAGTGGATCTAGAAAAGGAAGCGAGGATCTGTGATATTAAAAATATGAAATTTAAGTGAAAATTGCAAGATTCCTATTTCCTCAGCCAGGACAGCAGAGTATGTCTGCCTTCTCCTCTAACTGATTCTCAGCCATGTGTGTTCTATCTCCTTGCTGTGTCTCAGTCAGTTCACGTGTCCCCACCACTACTGAATCTCCAGAGTCCACAGGCCAAGATCACATTTTGCTGAACTTACTATTCTTAGTCTTCCATTTCTCATCCTGTAGCTAAAATGGCCCTTTTCTCTCTCATGCTTTAAAATACTTTTCATTGTCTTTAGGAAAAAACATGGGATTTGTTATCATGACTCACAAAGCCTCCTGTGATCTGGCTCTGTCTCAATGCTCCCTTTCAACCATTCTACATTTTCCAAACTAAAATTCTTTCCATTCCTCTCATTTCTTCATGTTCTTTTCCCTGAATTATTGTCTTCCTTGTTACTACACATATTTGACTTAGTTAATTCCTATTCTGCTTTCAAAAATCCTGCATATTCTTGTTTCCCCATACTTCTAATTCGTGACACGCATCCCATTTTGTAAAAACTTGCTGAATGTGTACCTTCCTGCTGCTCTGTAAGCAGCTTGTGGGCAGGGGTGAGCTCCTGTTTTCATCACTCTGCGTTGGCTGTCTATGAACTAGTTTCAGCACGAAGGAAGGAAGCCTGATTCATCGTCACTAATCACAGAATAGTCACTAATCACAAGTGCATTTGCCTGCCTCTGTAGGTTTTAAACTTCTTGGAGGAACTCCTGAATCATAATATAAGCTATTTTTATATCCTGTCTAGCCTAGAGTGTTCAGATTTAAAAATTTTTATATACATTGCGTTATAGCATTTAGCATTTTTATGAGGGCCTGAAAAGTACTGACAGAGTAACAACAATTGTTGCCATCTTTATCTAAGTAAATATGAATATCTTACCTGGGTTAGAGTTCACTCGGCAAATAGACTTAATACAAATATACACATTTATGATTACATAAAGGATCTACTGAGCAGGCTTATTATGGTGGCCTCCTGTGGAATTGGGGATGGAAGAATGCAAAATGGCCATCTGCATGCTGGAGAGCTGGAGGAGCCAGGAGAAATTTGAAGGCCTGGAGCCCATGTGAGAAGGCTCAAGGTTGTGTGTTGGAAGCCTGAAGGAACTAGAGAAAAACATCCAAAGACAGTGGTGAAGACACAGCTCCTACAAAGAAGCAGAGGATGGCTTCCTCTTACTTTACCTTTTCGATTTTATCCAGGCTCCAGTCCTGTTGACTGTTGCCTCCCACTTTCAGATTGAGTCTGTCCTCCTAAGTTGGTGGCCACATCTAGTTTGGGTCTTCCCTTCTCAGTTTGTGGCCTACGTGTTAATCATCCACAGACAAACACAGAACTGTGCTGTGCTAATCCACTAGGAATTTCTTAATCCATCCAAGTTGACATGCCATAATTAACCATCATGTCGCCCTAAACTAGCTTGTGTTAAATTAGATAAAATCATCTTGGCAACCACCCTTGGCATAACTATTTTTTGTCAATATAGTTTTTTTTAATGTATTTTGTACTTGGAGATAACTATGTAGCCAGCAGTGGTAGATTTCAATATGAATGTCATTCTTCACAAATAGTAAGATATTTCTTAGTCTTTCTGCTTTTCATTTTTGTCAGTATTATGTTGTAGTGATCTGGAGGTGCCAGTGGGTTTAATTAGGATTTTTCAGCACTCCATACCATGCCATTGAATAGATAGGTGATAATTCATTCAGCTATTCCTCTATTCATGGAAGTCTGTGGCAAAGCAAAGTCTTACAGCCTAATTAAGTTACCTCCTGGCTTCATAGGATCAGTGATGGAGATTATTATGTGGCATCTGATCAGGGTCTCTGCAGCTCCAGAACTTTCTGTAATAATGCAAATATTTTTTCTTCTTTATGTCTATATAGAGATAGCTATATGTGGTGATGCTAATATATCAGTATAGTTATGCATGTCAGTGTGGCTATTGTGAATTTATATTTAAACAGGCACTTGTGGCTAGAAGTTTCATATTGCAAAGTATAGGCTATGCTGTATGTGTGTAACATTTATGGCCAGAGAACACCAGCATCCTGAAAGGTCAGATTGTGACAATGGCTTCCTTGGAGCATCTCCCTGGAAAATAGTCAGTTTCATATAGTTTATTGGATCAAAGTCATTGTGGTGCTGCAGTGTGTTTAAGCTTTAGTTAGAATGTATGTCTGTTTTCTGTTCTCCTGGTCTTCTGCTTCTTATCTGAATGTTTCTATTAGGGATTTTTAGCTTTGTGTAAACTGTTTAATCTTTATCCCATAATAATTATGCAGTATCATGCTGTTAATTGGCATATGAGAAGACCCATTCTTTGCTGATATGTTCCTGTTATCTTGTCAATAAGAGTAAAGAGAACCTAAAATATCAAATTCACCCAAATTTACATTTAAATTAAAACAAAGGCAAGATGATGTCAGATTAGGGCACTTATTAATGCTGACACAGAGACTGGAATATCCTTTTTGTATTCTTGTTAATCCACATCACAGATGCTTATCTGGTATTTTCATTGTTTTTCTGTTAAAACGTAGCTTTTATTAGTTAAATAGAAAAATCAACTGTTTTATCCTTCATTCTCAAACTTTTTTGTTATAATTAACTTATGAAATCCCCTTTCATTATTGAAATGCATCTTTGATACATGTTCAGGATTTGGGAAGAGGAATGATTTGATTGAGACTGTGGTTTTTTGGGTCTTGAGCCAGACACCTGTTCAGCTGGTAAGCATTATTCCTTTTGAATCTGGCCTACATAGAGCCACTTTGTGATGGGAGTATATTCTGTACATTTATCAAAATATAGCTCTATAGAGATAATGCTGAATGGTTTTATGATAAAATGAGGTAAATGGGTAGTACAAGGAAGCTTAATTTATTGTGTCAAAATGAATATTTTCTAAACATTGTTTAAGAGATTAATAAGATAAAAGCTGCAGAATGGAAGACAGTTATGTTTAAGGCTATTCTTTAAATCTTCCAATGATGCTCTAGTTTCTGACACTTTTCTGAGACATAGGGAGAAGAATTATTGTCTGGACTGCAGACAACTTTCGTGGCATCATGGACTGTACAGTGAGACACAGGGCTTCTCTTTATGATGTGTTTTCATTGGATTTTTAAATTAGATATATTTTTTGCCATGTAAAAGATAAATCAGTTTTCTGAGTTTTGTTAGTAGTAGTCATGTGCATTGACAGCGGGTATTACTTTGCAAAGCTACTGCGGGTGTTGAAAAGGCACGTGCATTGCATGTGGCTCCTTCATTGAGTTTTAACTGAGCACCTTTTGCTGCTCTGTCCTTGATGCCAGGGGATAGA